TCCCAAACTTAAGAACATAATGGGGACCGTGAGGCTGTTTGTAAGTTGATTTGTTTGTATGTCGAAAGTCGGGTCACCCATTACTTTTTTTCCCATTGTTTTAAAGTTTTGTTTACATTAAGAATACCTGTAAATAAATCCCAATAAGTACAACATACCTTATACAGTACCAGACTCTTGAACTATATTCGTGCCTGGGAAATTTGAAGTTTGCTAGCATCTTTCAAACAATCTTTTGGACTTTAGTACTTAAAATATTTGTTTGTATGTATGGAATGTTCATAAGTAGAATGTTCTTAAGTAGGGGACTATCTGTGTGTGTATATATATATATATATATATATATATATATATATATATATGTAGTAATGAATAAGGTTTTTGTATTTACCACATTTTGACAGTTTTGTAGGCACTTATAAATACAGTGACCAATGACATATTTTTTTGTTTTAAAAATCAAGATATCATTTATCCCTGTGGCCAAGTTTTGAATTTACTTGCATCTATCTATATTTTACTGAAACCCTTTATTAGTGTAAGCTATTTCATATGCACATATTTCATGCATATACAGACAGACAGACATAAAGACAAATAATGCTTTAACTTACATCATTAAGTTTAAGAGAGGTACTGTGAGGTCAAAAATCATTTTTATGTATTGTAATGCTGTAAAAGTATTTTAAGCAGGAGAAATGTAGGGTAGTGCATAGAAACAATCAATATGAAGGTATACTATTTATTTTTCAATGACTAATAAACAGTAGAATTTCACATCTAAATGTAGTAGTTCACCCTAAAATCTTAAAAAAGTCATTTGAACTTTCATTTTATGTGCATCTCTTATAAAAGGTATGCGTGAGTTACATGAAAAATTAAATAAAAAGTACAAATGTAAACAATGTCTTAACATAGTATCCTGTAGCACATTTGTTAGCACAAATTGAGAAGTTGCCAGTTCAGCCATTTCTTAATTTACTGCATAATAATGAAAGTTTTTAAAAATACACCATTGTATGTTCTACAAATCAATTCATATATATAATGTAGAGAATGGAGAGAAAACATAAGAACATTGCTAAACATAAATGGGAAGTGCATTTAAAAGTACCTTAAGTAGAAAAATCAGTGACCTTTGTTACAAGATATTTAAAATGGATGGTTATCAATGGATATTAATAATGAAATAAGGTCCTCAATAAAGGTTATTAATGTTACAGACCATACTCATACTTATAAACAAAAGTTAAGAGTGGCACACCAGCTCCATTAATATGAGAAAAGTATATACCTGGATACTAAACCTGACATTATTATTATTTCTATTTTTCATTTTTAATAGACATAAGTTGCACAACATATTACCTATTGTGCATTTCCACCAAACAGTAGTTTGACTTTTTTCAATGACTAGAACAGTTTGACATACTGTAACTCTCAAAGGTTGTGACAACTATTATCAACTTTGGCTACAGGATGTAATAAATGCTGAAGCATAAAAACTAAATAAGTATTCTAGAAAATGTAATACTGCTAGTATGTATAAAACAGTAATTAATAAAAGATGTTGACCAGAGTAATTTTCATTAAACCTAATTCTAGTGGCAATCTTAGTAGCCTTAGATATTACACTTTGTTCATCTTCAGGCATTAGGCCTTTCTTAGCATCATTAACTTGTTATCTGCCTTTCCTATTTTACAGAGCTATCTCTAAAATCTTAGTTTTATGAGTATATAAACTGTTGAAACTATTCTTATAAAATTTCTAGAGCATTCCATCTTTTTTTTTATCTGCCCAGTAATGAAGTAGTTTTCATTTTAAAAAACTTTAATTCTGATGTCAAATCAGGACTGTGCTGGAAGATAATAAGGAATTGCTTATCTTAAAATTGTTTAAGGTATACACATTAGTGTTTGCATATCCCTTTTTTATGTAGAAAAAGAAAGCTTCTAAAAACACTTTTGTGAATTTCTCTCTGTATTTTCCATCTTGGAATGTAAAAACTATGATTTTAAAAATCATAACTTGAATGGAAAAAGCATCTATTTTGCAATTTTCATACATTCATTTAACCCACTGTTGCCAGGGATTGTAAGATTGTGCTTACAGATTGATGGGTCCACAAGTGCTTTGTCACTAAGAAGCCAATTAATATCTATCTAATACTAATATCATCATTAATATTAATTCAATATTTATGGTGTGTATCTCTTCTTGTCCTAGTGAGCTAAAACCAAAAGCTGGTTGGTAAAGAAACACAGCATGTGTGGTGAGCCAGCTCCACACTGTGCACCCAAAACAGTTGTTCACCTTTTTAGCTCTTTCTGTGGTAGTTCAAGAGCTATAGCCCCTCAAATGTGGGATTACAGCATTTGTCTCAAATGCTGAAAACAATGTATGCCATAGCCATATGTGCACAGAGCAAGGTAAATATTTGCTCCCTGAGCAAAAATATACATGATAGGTCATATATGGCTGCCTATTGACTCCTTGGTGGTTGAACACTTGTAGAGCAATCTATGAATAAACACAATTCATAAAACAAACTCAGTGGGCATTACATATACCTTGTGGCAAGTTATTTTGTTTTTTAATATGTAATCAGGGCCAGATTCTGACCTTTTGGGGCCCCTAGGCTAATGAAATTACAGGGCCCCCTCAGATTATTTTTACTCAAGATATATTTTAGCGACATTTACATAGCTTGAATCAAACTTATTGTAAATTCTTTAAATAAACTAGCATAGCTATCTTTTGTTTGTTAATAAAAATATTTTAAATACCATTATTTTACTAAACTTCAACACAACCGTAGTGGAAAAAAAAAAAAAAAAAAAAAAAAAAAAAAAAAATATAACCAACCCCCAAGCTTGAGGGGCCCTAGGCTGCAGCCTATACTAGCCAATAGGATAATCCGGCTCTATGTAATGAGTAATAGTTTTCACTCTTTGACCTTTTACTAAATTATCAACACATCTCTATGACATTTTATTTGCTTCTACAGAATAATAATAATAAATAATGATAAATAATAATAATAAAATTTAGAAATTTTGTAATCTGTTGTTTTTCTGTTACCCATTATCAAAACTTTTTTCAACATTTTTTATCTGTAATACTAATGGATTATCTGTCTTTTTCATATTCTTATAAACTACCTCTGTTGCTTTATTATATATTCTATTACACAGTTATTCCTAACATCATCTCCATCATGTGATTATCTTTTAAATGTGATAATATCAAAACAGCATTCAAATAAATCTTGCAAAATATTTCCTGAGCAACAGGAATCTTTTACCTCTACTCCTGATTTTAGAAACAAAATCTGAAATTTGAGAGTTTCATATTAAACTGACCTTATCTTTATTTCAAAAACACCTTGTGATTTTTTTTTACTTTGCTGTCTAAAGGGGACTGTCTGGATAGGTATGGGTGAACCAGAGCTAAGAGCAGTTCTATGCCTGGGTATGCCTAGACAACTCCTCCGTGAAAGATATGCCGCAATTATTTTTCCTCTCCTGAATAATGTGTATTACCACAATTATCTGTTCCCAGTTTTTCTCTCATTTTCATACTTTTGTTCATTCTAATGGTTCCCATTGCATGGATATGGATTAGAATATGATAAAAAAAAATAAAGGAAAGACCCAAACAAAACCATTAGGAAATTAAATTGTTAGAGCCATTCCATGCTTGAAATATGGCCTGCATGTGGCTTCCTGGAGATATGTGTTATGAAGTTTATATGATTATATATTTACTAATGGCATCTAAGGAATTCAGTAATTGTGACTTTCTAGAATGGGTCTTTTCACATTCCATTTTATAAAAGAAATTAAATTACAATTTTGTATTAAGCAATAAAAAATAAGAATAAGAGTAGAAAAGAAAAATGCCTGAACTTCAAATATCATTTTCTCATGATTAACTTTTGGAAGCAAGAGAGGTTCCAACACCACTAACGCGATGTCAAAGATGAAATGTATTCATGTTGACAAATGTAGAAAAGGTATGAATGAGAATGAATATCTTCATAATGATGTATTTAACAGTTTCAAATACATCATGTATTTCTGATGAAAATATATTCAAAACCAGTATAAATACCTCTTGTATTTTCTAAAGAATTACAGAAGCAATTGTTTTCGCATTTTTTAGAGAAAACACTGACTTACTTAGAATCCATATACCAGAAGAACTAAAGGGAAATTGCAAAATTGGTAGCAAGCATTAGAAGACTTTATGATATTACTGTCATGTCCTTCTGAGGAATGGTGTATGAATTATTCACCCTACAAACATTTTAGGAAATTTTCCTACATCTGAAAGGGTCAATTACCCCCCTGGAGAGTTAACTTAAAAAAATATAGCTCAAAAGAAGCACAACTACATAATCTACAATTAATTTTAAAATCACCTTATTATCTCAATCACCTTATTATTATCATATTTAAGTAAAAAAAAATGGGAACATTTGGGCTAATTGGTAAACAGTCCCATTAAGATAACAATAAAACCATACAGTTTATCCAACAACACGCAATCTCCATCCTTACATGGAAACTAATGCCAAAATATTCTCATGTAGTGCCTGGCAATAGAATGCTGCATTAGCAATTATAATAAAAATGAACAAAAAACAGAAACCAGCAGTTCTTGTGTCTATGGCATTTGACAAATTTCACTTGAATAATTGAAATGACAAGAGTGGAATATTTTAAAGTATTAATAAAGATTCTTATATTACTGGCAGGAGTACTTTTCATTATACAAATAAGCAACAGAATAACAATGTTCAATTCAATATACATGACTAGTACATTTTCACTGAAAAGTGTCAATAAAATGAAAATTGTGCTTAGAAATATATAACAATATGGTACATTACTTTTACATGACTAGCAGGAATGTTTCCTCATATGCCTTCCTTAGGTCCAAGAAAGGAAAAGACCCAAACAAACCATTAGGAAATTAAATTGTTAGAGCCATTCCATGCTTGAAATATGGCCTGCATGTGGCTTCCTGGAGATATGTGTTATGAAGTTTATATGATTATATATTTACTAATGGCATCTAAGGAATTCAGTAATTGTGACTTTCTAGAATGGGTCTTTTCACATTCCATTTTATAAAAGAAATTAAATTACAATTTTGTATTAAGCAATAAAAAATAAGAATAAGAGTAGAAAAGAAAAATGCCTGAACTTCAAATATCATTTTCTCATGATTAACTTTTGGAAGCAAGAGAGGTTCCAACACCACTAACGCGATGTCAAAGATGAAATGTATTCATGTTGACAAATGTAGAAAAGGTATGAATGAGAATGAATATCTTCATAATGATGTATTTAACAGTTTCAAATACATCATGTATTTCTGATGAAAATATATTCAAAACCAGTATAAATACCTCTTGTATTTTCTAAAGAATTACAGAAGCAATTGTTTTCGCATTTTTTAGAGAAAACACTGACTTACTTAGAATCCATATACCAGAAGAACTAAAGGGAAATTGCAAAATTGGTAGCAAGCATTAGAAGACTTTATGATATTACTGTCATGTCCTTCTGAGGAATGGTGTATGAATTATTCACCCTACAAACATTTTAGGAAATTTTCCTACATCTGAAAGGGTCAATTACCCCCCTGGAGAGTTAACTTAAAAAAATATAGCTCAAAAGAAGCACAACTACATAATCTACAATTAATTTTAAAATCACCTTATTATCTCAATCACCTTATTATTATCATATTTAAGTAAAAAAAAACTGGGAACATTTGGGCTAATTGGTAAACAGTCCCATTAAGATAACAATAAAACCATACAGTTTATCCAACAACACGCAATCTCCATCCTTACATGGAAACTAATGCCAAAATATTCTCATGTAGTGCCTGGCAATAGAATGCTGCATTAGCAATTATAATAAAAATGAACAAAAAACAGAAACCAGCAGTTCTTGTGTCTATGGCATTTGACAAATTTCACTTGAGTAATTGAAATGACAAGAGTGGAATATTTTAAAGTATTAATAAAGATTCTTATATTACTGGCAGGAGTACTTTTCATTATACAAATAAGCAACAGAATAACAATGTTCAATTCAATATACATGACTAGTACATTTTCACTGAAAAGTGTCAATAAAATGAAAATTGTGCTTAGAAATATATAACAATATGGTACATTACTTTTACATGACTAGCAGGAATGTTTCCTCATATGCCTTCCTTAGGTCCAAGGTAAAAAGTTTGAATAAAGAACTACACCAACAAGTGAATACAGCAGAAAGTAGGAAATAATGAACTGACCCCAGAATGTCTTTGGAAACTCTGAGAGTAATGATACCTGATAGAAGCTGTTTAGGTTGGCAGGAGTCTCAGCATGGACTATCATATTCTTCTTGGATGGTTTTTCATTTACATTTTTGGGTTGGTCAGTCAGCATGTGTGCAGCAAACCAATACACAACCGGGCAACTAGAGCACAGCAGTCTTGTTGTTACCTGTGGGAAAATCAAAATAACCCCATAAAAAAGCTGCTTCACAATAAGGAGAACCATTGGTTCACAGGAAGAGAAAACTAGGAAGACCAAAAACAAAATATGAAGACAACATCAAAGATATAACAGGATTAAGCATTGTTGAAATGATAAAAAATGCAAAGGGAGGGAAAGTTGAAGGAACTTTTGCAGAAGTATCATGGTAGATCACCCTAATGATCAATCCATTCAATGAAGATGAATATTCCACTCTTTTTACATGAAATTTAGAGAGAGAGAGAGAGAGAGAGAGAGAGAGAGAGAGAGAGAGAGAGAGAGAGAGAGAAAGAGAAAGAGAAAGAGAAAGAGAAAGAGAAAGAGAAAGAGAAAGAGAAAGAGAAAGAGAAAGAGAAAGAGAAAGAGAAAGAGAGGGGTGAGGGGTGTGAGGGGGAGGTGAGGGGGAGGTGAGGGGGAGGTGAGGGGGAGAGAGAGGGAGAAAGAAGGAGAGAGAGGGAGAAAGAAGGAGAGAGAAGGAGAGTGGAGAAAAAAAGAGAGAAAAGAGAGGAGAGAGAGGGAGAGAGAAGGAGAGGGAGAGAGAGGGAGAGAGAGAGAGAGGGAGAAAGAGTGTGAGTGCAAAGGTGAGTGTGAGAGTGAATGTGTGTGTGTGAATGTGTATCGATATTCACATGGATCTGGAAGGGGTGTGGGTGGGTTGTGTTGTTTATTCTAACTTTCACCTACTTGGACATGGATACAGAGTACGCAGAAAGCACACAGGCTGAGAGAGTGGGCTGTGTAAACAAACACACGCCAGGAGTTGATGCCTTCCTCAGGCCATGTTAGGGCTTGCTTTCTCCGACTTGAAGGCTTATCTCCCACTGGCTGAGGAATTCCCAGACCCCAGCATACCTGTAATAATATACATTATTAATCTCATCATCATCATCATAGAATCTAAAAACAGCTTATCAATTTCTTCAATTTAATTGATAACGTCATATATTTCAGAAAAAAGATGGGGTATAAGATTACCTGAGGGTTATCTACCATGTACAGAGCTGCATGACAAATAACAATCATGACAACTGGTAGAGCCAGCATGAAGTTGGGGACTTGACGGACCTCATAATATCGAAGAAGTCCAACCTGACGAGCAAAAACAATCTATTCAGTTTTTAAATTCCAATAGTCTATAAGCTGTACATTATTCAGATAACTCTAAAACACACATATTTCCTCTCTCCTTAAATCTTCACTTTCCCCTCAAAATTCCATACTCTGTGACAAAATCTAATTAGAATAAGAAATATATCTCCAATCTTCTTAAGTTCACAATATTTGTCCACTTAAAAAGTATATATCCTAGCGATGTGCTACAGTTGAAGCCTACCTCCCAATATTTGTCCTGCACATATGAATAGGCAATGGGTGGTGTGTTATCACACCATTCTGCTTCACCCATAACTGGTGAATGCAAGAAGTTTGCTCGCACATACATTTCTAGATGTGGAGCCAGAGTTGATGAAGTTCCATCCTTGTGGCAGTATGTCTGGAAACACAATGTAAACAGTATTATTACAAAACTGCTAATTTGTACATTAAAAAGTTAAGTATACAGAATTATCAATAATAATTTTGGTCCATTTGAAAAGTCTGCTGCCCATCACAACAATTATCTTTTTGTGAATGTATGTCCATTAATAAAATACTCTTCAACATTAGTACTAACCTTTACAATATTAATACAAAATAAAAGCATATAGCTGTCATCCAGAAAAAGGGCAAAACTAACTTCTTTCACCCTAAGTCCTTTGAAATCCATATTGTACTAAGCAACAATCTTTGTTGGAAAATAAAAAGCTAATCTAGTTGTGTCTAATTACTAAAAAACTCACAATACACACAAAATTTCTTTTAGTGAATCTAGACCATTGCACTCATTATAATTCATAGTAATAATACATGTAATGTGTATTTCTAGCATAACAAGATATATATCAAATAAAATCATCATAAACAACAATAAGGATGGAAATAATCACTCATGAGATCTCCCTTTATCTTTCAAATTGGTAAATTTACTACTTATGTTAATTTCTGGAAACAATAGAGGGAAAAACCTGAAGCTTTTTGTCAGTCTCCAGAACTTTGTTAACCTGCAGCCTGCTATTTGCATCTTCCACACAAGCCTTGCATGAATATTCAGTTGGTATGCTTATAAATGCATACCATTCTGAGAAGTGATTGCATGTAACAATGATAACCTGTTAAAATATAAAAATGTAATGACTTACAAAATAGCACCAGGTCTGGAAGATGACAAATGGAAGGACAACCAGGAAACATCCAATGAAGAGTGGAATGAGTGTATAGTTGAAGGTAAGGATCACTACTATCAGCAGAGACAGCTGCCCTGATTCTGTTGTTGCATTTCGAATCCTGAAAGAAATACCAATATTACTGAAAACAGTATCTTCATAGCCTTTCAGTGTGAAATCACATTTTCCATCTACAACCCGACTAAAATGATAATGATGAATAAAATAAAAGATACAAGTACATTCATGTAATCAGAAAATGCTCAAGGAAAATATTCACTGTCAATCTAACAAAAATTACTAACATCACATGTAAAAAATACACATACATTTACGTAATGAAAAAACATTTTAGAAAAATTTTCACTGTTAAGCTTATATACACTAATAAAAAACAGTAGCATCATTCCACATGATTATTAATTCTGTGCAAAACATTCCTTCAACTACATAAAATTACTTACTTGTAGTAATAATTTGAACAATCCAGAAGCTTCCTGTAGAGGATGAACCCAATGTTGACAAGCCCATTTGATCTACCAGCCGAGGCGAGTCCAAAAGGCAATGCCGCAACTGAAGTACTTCTTCTTTCATTTGTTAATAATGCCGAAAATGTGAGGAATGCAAACAATCCCTCAGAGTATGGGGCTGTGAAAAATATGCTTGCAGGATTGATACAAAACAGCAATGCTGCTCGGTATGCAAGTATCTCATTTTTCAGCACCACTAAACTCAATCTATGAAAAACAGCTGCAGTCTTGATAAATAAGTAGAAATTCAATAATACTGCAGATATCAGTAAAATACTGTGATAGCTACAAACAAACTGCAGAGGAATACCAACGACATGTGCTAGATACCGCACTGCCAGGGGAAATAGTGGGAAGAAAGCCAGAGTGTTTTCGTGTGTATAACCATACTGAGCAATGTGGAGAAAATATTGAGCATCCCAACGCACTAAACCACCTAAGAGGAACTGCACTATTTCATCCCCCCATGTGGACTTCACCTCTGGGTCTTGTGGGGAGACAAATGCATCTGCCTGGTGATCTGGGATAATCAGATTTGATATAACCTGTAAACAGAAAATATATACTCTGTAATATCAGTGTGTGAAGGTATATATATATACAGTATGTATATTGTGTTCAATTAATCTACTGTATACAGACAGCACACATCATAAAGTCCACC